TCTCTCTCTCTCTCTCTCTCTTAACCCCACAAACCCTCTTTCTTCTTAGTTTATATGTCTAAGTGGGTGGAGGCGATAGCTACCCGAACAAACGATCATAGTGTGGTAATCAAATTTTTGCATGAAAATATCTTTAGTCGTTTTGGGTTTCCTAGAGCCATAATAAGTGATCAGGGTACACATTTTTGTAACCGATTTTTTGAGTCGGTAGTTAAGAAATACTCTATCACTCATAAAGTTGGCACTCCATACCACCCTCAAACTAGTGGCCAAGTGGAAGTCTCAAATAGGAAGGTAAAGCACATAATTGAGAAAACGGTGAGACTGGATAGGAAAGATTGGTCAAAACGGTTAATTGATGCATTATGGGCTTATCGCACTGCTTATAAGACACCCATCGGGATGTCACCATATAGGGCGGTGTTTGGCAAAGCTTGTCATCTCCCGGTTGAACTTGAGCATCGAGCATTGTGGGCCATAAAGAAGTTCAACTTCGATATGGCCGCGGCTGGGCTCAACCAGAAATTGCAACTCAATGAGCTGGAGGAAATCCGAAATGATGCATATGAGAGTTCGAAAGTTTTTAAAGCTCAGACTAAAGAATTCCATGACAGGCACATTAATAAAAAGTCCTTTGAACCCGACCAAAAAGTGTGGCTTTTTAATTCAAAATTGAGACTCTTTCCGGGTAAGCTAAGATCAAGATGGGATGGCCCCTTTGAGGTTGTTGAGACATTTAGTCATGGCGCCGTTGAGGTGCGAGATCCAAAAACTGGCCACACTTTCAAAGTAAATGGCCAAAGATTAAAACCATATATAGAGGGGATTGAGAATGGGGATATGATTGAGTCCATTGCTTTGATCGACCCATTTTACTATGATTGATAGATTAATTTCTTGTTCCTTTTTCTTTCCCTTCTATGCTATTATGTTTTTCTTTGTTTTCGTTATGCTTTACTTGCGTCTAGGAGACTTTAAATCCTCTAAAGGTGTAATTCCTTTGGTGTTTGCCGTGCCCGAACGGCATCTGACGGTCTGGTATAGCCACCTAACCGTGTTTGTAGTGAGTTCCTAGGAGACCAACTGAGACGGTGGAAACTAGAGTTCGAATGGCAAAGCCTAGAACACAAAGGTTTGGGATTTCCGAGACTAGAGTCTGGTTTAAATACCCAGGGGTGTGGAGATTGCTTCAAAACTACCTCGGCTTAAACTCTGTATGGCAGCCCCATAGGTTGAGGTAGGTTTATGCGCCTCGATTCTGGATACAGATTGCTTCAAAACTACCTCGGCTTGAACTCTATATGGCAGCCCCATAGGTTGAGGTAGCTTTATGTGCCTTGATTCTGGATACTGAATCAACCTAATCTGTCACCCTGTTGGAGAATAGGGAAAGTTACAAACATAGTTAGGCAGACAAGTAGTACCCGTGGTTTTCGCGTGAAGATTATACCTTGAGTGGGCATTCCGTTATTTTCTTATGTGCTATATTTAGTTTGGATGTCAATTGAAGGTAGAGATAGTTAAGTAAACTTTGGGTTGTACTAGCCCGAAGGCTATAAACTACGCTGGGTTTTATTACCTGGGGGATTCTGAAGTGGCAACTTTATGCCATAACTTTGGTGCTTTTTGTTAGGTGTTGAGAGTTAGTTTTCCATTTTCTTGAAGCATGTACGCTTGCGAGTGCTTCGTGTTTTTGTTAAACTATGCTGTTGCAATGTAGCAGAAAAAGGTCATTGCATGCGTGTGGGTGGAAGGGACCCACCGTAGCCTGCGTAAGGCATTGATGTGTGTTTTTATTTTTAGTTTGTGGCACATCTCTTATTAACTAATTTCTGCGATGCTTAGCTCTTTGTAGTCTCAGTCATATTTAAGAGCAATTTTAGATGATTATGCAGGAAATTGGCAATTTGAACAAGTTGCACTCTGCTTTAAAAGCAGGTGCGGCCGTACGGGAATTTCTATTTTATTTTTATTTAATTTCAAAATAAAATAAAATAAAATAAAAAATAAAAAAATTTGTCCAGATTTTGTTTTGCTTTTACTATTATTATTATTATTATTTTCATATACTAATTTTTTTTAAAAAAATAATAATAATAATAAAATAAAATAAAATGTTTGGTTTTTTTTTATTATTATTAATTTTCTTTTATTTCTTTTTTAATTTATTTAAGTAAATAAATTTTAATAAATATATAAATAAATTTTAAATGTAAATAAATAAATATACAATTATTTTATTTATAATTTATATATATATATATATTAAAATAATAATAAAAAAACTTTTTATTTATTTATTTTTATTTTGTATTTTCGTACTCAAAAAAAAAAAAAAAAAACATTATCTACACCTACACACTCCCAATCCCACTCCATCTGAGATTTCTCCCTCTCTCTCTCTCACTTTCACAACCCCACACAAACCCACCTTCTTCTTCCTTCCTCCTTCTTCCTTCTTCTTCTTCCCTTCTCTTTTCTCTCTCTTCTTCCTCACCACCATCGTCTCACCGCCGGCATCGCTTCCCTCTCCGTCCGACGAAACTCCGACGACCACCATTTTTTCCGGCGAACCTCCATTCTTTTTCTCTCTTTCTTCACTTTTTCAAGGTAATTTTTTTTTCTTTTTCTTTTGCGTAGATTTGTGAAGGTAGGAATCAATTTGTAGAGTTTTTTATTTTTTATTTTTCTTTGATTCTTTTTGATTTTTTTTTTTTGATCTGGTGTTCATCTTAAAAAAAAAAAACAAAAAAAAAAAAACTTAGCCATGACCGATCTACTTCTTTTTAGTATTTTTAGTGGTCATTATGATTTTTTTTAATTTTATTTGTGTTCCTTTAGTTGTAGAATGCATGTCTATTAGTTTTTTTTTTTTAAAAAAAACCTTATAAATAGTGGTACTAACACTAATCCTAATTTAGTTTTTTTTTATTTGTTCTATTTGTTTAGTGTAAATTGCTTCATAGCGATTCTGGTTAGTTTAATGAGTTAGTTTAGTTCTGGTTGTTTTATTCTATACTTTAGTCTATTTTGTAGTTTAGTTATTTTATAATTTAGTTTAATTTAGTTTAATTTAATTTACTGACATTTTCCTTCACTTATTTAATTAAGTTTGTTTTTACAAAATTTTTATTTTCTTCTTTTAAATTAAAAAAAAAAACCAAAAAAAAAAAACAAATACAAAAAAAAAAAAAAACACACAAAAAAAACTTAAAAAATATATATATAAAAAAAAAAAAACAAAAACAATGTTTATTTCTGGTTGTTTTATTCTATACTTTAGTCTATTTTGTAGTTTAGTTATTTTATAATTTAGTTTAATTTATAGCTTAATTAATTTAATTTGCTGACATTTTACTTCTCTTATTTAATTAATTTCGTTTTTACAAAAAAAAAAAAAAAAGGGGGAATTGCATGGGGTACATTAGTGGGCAAATTTGGGCTTTCATATTTTATTTGATTCTCATGCTGGTTTCACGGGTATCTGTATTTCTTGTTGGTGTGTGCAGGATATGAGTCGCCGTGTCACTGCTCGGGCCTCCAAAAAGGCCAGGGGTGCCTCCTCTTCGGCGCCACCACCACCACCATCACCACCATCCTCGCCACCACCACCAGGAGACTTGCCACGGCCGGAGTGGGCTTCACGGCCTCTTCACAAGCTCACGCAGTTCAACCTGCCATTTTTCCAGCATGACGAGGACACTACTTGGGCGGTTGAGCAGCTCCGACTCCGGCAACAGTTGGGCATTTGCGCTGTGACAGCGCCCACTTATCCTCGCTTGGTCCGATTATTCTACCAGAACCTGCATGAGACACCCACCACGGTTGGACTGCTCTCTAACATTGATGGTCAAGTTGTCCACATCACCTCAGCCATGATTGCCACAGTGTTAGAGTTTTTCGCCAAACCAGATTATCAGCCTTTCCCGGAAGTTGAGGATCAACAACCCATACATCACATTGAGGTAGCTTTATGCGCCTCGATTTTGGATACCAAATCAACCTAGTCTGTCACCCTGTTGGAGAATAGGGAAAGTTACAAATACAGTTAGGGAGAAAAGTAGTACCCGTAATTTTCACGTGAAGATTATACCTTTAATGGGCATTCCGTATGTTCTTTTGTGCTATACTTATTCCAGATGTCAATTGAAGGTAGAAATGTTTATTCTCTGTGTTTAAAAACATGCTTTCATGTTTATTTTCTGTGTTAAAAAAAAAAACTGAAATCGCCGCACGTGCAGCCTGGGCCCCGCACGTGCGGGAAAATTTGGCAAAACCAACCTTGCACTCTGCTAAATAAGCAGGTGCGGAGGGGCGTGCATTGACCAGCCGCACGTGCGGCTTGGGCCCCGCACGTGTGGGACGCCGATAAAAAAAAAAAAAGCTGGTTTCACGGGTATCTGTATTTATTGTTGGTGTGTGCAGGATATGAGTCACCGTGTCTCTGCTCGGGTCTCCAAAAAGGCCAGGGGTGCCTCCTCTTCGGCGCCACCACCACCACCATCACCACCATCCTTGCCACCACCACCAGGAGACTTGCCTCGGCCGGAGTGGGCTTCACGGCCTCTTCACAAGCTCCTTTGGGCTGTGTAATGCACCGGCGACCTTTCAACGGTGTATGATGGCCATTTTCTCCGACATTTAGGCACTTTTGGCCACTGTTTTGGGGTGGATCAAGGTCTGCCCCTTTATGGTTCAAAGCCCTCTTGCATGCTTGTCTCATGTCCATTGCATGATTGCTTCATTAAGTGTTGTAATATGTTGATCCCATTCCTTAAATGGTCCATGTTTACATTGCATTTGCATCTTGCATTCCTAGCATTGCATACTTGCCATATTAGTTGCATGACATTTGGCATGCCTTGCATTTCCATGTCATTGTTGCATTTTGAACCATGTTTGCATAACATGCATTGCATTACTTATGAGTGTAGACACCCCATTTTTGATCGTCCTCAAGACTTGGACGTCACCGTTTCAATACTCGGTGATCATCCATGTTTGTGTTCGTTTGGAGTTCCCGGAGGTCTCGGCTACGCGCCTTGCCTCAGGATCTCCGAACTCGACCGTTTAGTGTCTGGTTTTGCACCAAACACTTGCTTTTTGCCTTGGAGGGGCAGGGAATGCCTTGTGAGGCATCCCTACACACCACCGGCCATGGCCAAAGGCCACCGGCTGGTTTTTTCTGCCACCGGCAATGTATTTTGCCGGTCGGCACTATTTAGTGCCGGTCGGCACTATTTTTTTGCCAAAATGGCATCTTTGGCCGGCCGACTACTGTGCATCTGCTTTTGCAGATATTTTAAGATAGCTATCTTGCTTTTGGCTCCCCTCCATATGTATGGAGGGATCTCCCTCTTTAGAAGCTTGTCTTGTAAGCTTTACAAGACAATAAGCTCTATAAAGAGAGGGGCTCTCTCTTGTTGCTGAGGTGAGAGACTTGAGACACCTTAGATATTTTTTAGACAGCCATTTTTAGGGTTTTGAGTTCTAGGGTTAGAAACCATACACTTTCTATCTCTATATCTCCCTCTTGTGTGTGTTTAAGTGTGTTTGTGTCTTCCTATTGCACACAAACACAGAGTGTTTCACCTCCACTTAGCTACTGAGGTTCTAAGAGGTTGGTTTTGAAGTTTTGGAGCTGTTTTCAACCTAAAAGGAGCTGTTGGAGCATCATTGTTAAAGGGGTTTTCAAGGGTAAGAAACTAGCCCCTTTATTCCCCATTTTTGAATTATATTTTTACCTGTCTTAAAATCGTTTTTGAGCTTGGTGTATAATACAAAAAAGTTCTATTTTTAGGCCCTCAAAATTGTTTGTTTAGAGTGTTTTGTGGTTTGGAGGTGTTTGACCCCTCTTAGGCCTTTAAAGGCCCCATTTTGAGCCATTTTGAGTGAGCTCTGGGATTTTGGTGTTTGGGCCTCCTTACCACTGAAATCTTGAGGGATTTCAGTGGTAAGGATGGTGTCTTGAAGTCCCAAAAACGGGAGGGCCATCCCCTCTCCTTCTTGTCCTTGAAAGGGACCCTTTTTGGCCTCTTGAGGGAGCATCATGTTAGAGTGTGTATTGATCATGTCTTGGCTGTTTTCCATGTTCATTATACCATGATATAACCTTGTTGTGTGTTGGTTTTGGTACACCATGCATGCTTAGCATACCTACCATGTAATGCCTTGTTATTGCCTTAATATGCCTTAGGTTGTTAGCCCTTGTTCAAGCATGTTTTAGGCTTAGTCTTGTGAAGCTTTTGTGCATATTTTGCCATGTTTAAGGTCTTTCCTAAGTTGTTTGGGTCGGATTTGGCATGCTTTGTATAGCCCCTTTGTATTCTGGCTTGTTGGCCTTAAGCATGTGAATGTATAGCATGACATTTTTGCATTGATTTGGTGATTTGGAACCATCCACCATGTCATTTCAGTCCCCTTTGCATGCCTACGTGTTTGCCTTGGATGCCTCTTTAATGCTTTGTAAGCTTGTGTAGTATGCTCCATGTTTTGGCATTTGTGCATGCCTTTGAATTTGAGCCACTTAGATGCCATCTAAGAGTCCCCTTTGCATGGTCTAGGTTTGTCTTGAACCTATTTTAAGTCCTCTTAGCCTTGCGAGGCTTGGTTGGCTTAGCCATGGTTCAAGTCCCCTTGACTTGCTTCAAGTACTTGGACCATTTGCATGCTAATGTTTAGCCTATCTTGTTGCTTGGTTTGACACCATCTTAACATGATTTTCAATGCTTACCTTACATGCTAT